AAGCTAAAATAATTTTTTTATTACTAAATTTATTTTCAGACAATCTAAAAATTGTTCTTCCCCTTATAATTAAACTATTTATAAAAAGAAAGATGATGATGATGATAATAATAAATAATAAATAATGATAAATAAATAAATAAATAAATAATAGTGAATGGCAAGCTAAACAAAAAATTAATATTAATATCATTTAAGAAAATGATTGATTGATTGATTGATTGAATGAATGAAAAAAAAAATTAAATAAATTATTTTTGATTCGGAAAATGATCGATTAGGAAAAATTGATACCCCTCCCCCGCCTCCCGGGGGAGCCGTAAAAGAGAAAATAATAATAATAATAATAATATAAAATTAAATATGAAAACTTATATTTATTATTGTACATAATCCCCCCCCCCAAAAAAAAAAAAAAAAAAAAAAAATTTTACACAAAATGTTTAAATAAATAAATAAATAAAAATATATATATATAGTTTAAAAGAAAGATAAATAATAATAATAATAATTATTATTATTATTATTATAAATAAATAAATAAATAAATAAATAATAATAATAGTTTTTAAAAATAATCGATTCGGGTTAGGTAATGCACAAAAAAAATATTTAATTTAAATTTTAATTTAATTTATAATTTTTTTTTATTTATTGATTCATTGATTGATTGATTGATTGATTGATTACAAAAATTATGAATGAATGAAATTTATTTACTTATTTATTTATTTATTTTATTGATTTGTGAACTGGTATAAATAGAAATCATTTATTTATTACGTTCTGGTTGTTGCTGTTATTTATATAAAATGTTTTTTTATTTTTTTCAAATCATTAGTATTATTATTATTATCAATATCGATCGATTGCACCCCGTTTGAAATCGTAAGAAGAAGAAATAATAATAATAATAATAATAATAATAATAAATTAAAAATGAAATTTCGTTTTGTAAAAAAAACTAAAAAAAAAAAAAAAAAATTGTAAATTATACTACAACTGCATGAGTATGAAATCAGTTGCCAACGTGTAGTTTGTTTCTATATTTTTTTTGTTGTAATTATTATTATTATTATTTTTTTTCTCATTGTTATTACTATTATTATTACTATTTTTATTTATTTATTTATTTATTTATTTATCATCATTATTATTATTATTATTTAAGTTTCTGTGTTGCTTGCGTTAGAGTTCTCGATGCTATAAAAAAAAAAAAAAAAAAAAAAAAATTAAAAAAAAAAAAAAGAAGAAAAATTTAAAATTCAAAAAAAAAAAAAAAAAGAAAAAAAAAAAGAAAATCTTTTTATTTGTAAATCATATTTATTTTAAAATAAAAAATAAAAATCAAAAGAAACCCCCCTCCCCCCCCAAAAAAAAAGTAAATTGAAAATAATAATAATAATAAATTTTTAATGTGTATTTTAGTATTAAATAAATAAATAAATAAATAAAACGAGAGGTACATATGAGAGAGTAAAAATTGAAAATATTATAAATAAATAAATATATATATATATTTATTACGTTTTATCATCATC